TTAAGTAAAAACGCGGGTTACTCACGTGAATATACTGAGAAAAGCTCTACTAGTTTCGAACCACCAGTGAGCTGCGCGACGTCGCCGCGACCGCGCACGCTGCTCATGAGGAAGAACCCCTCTGTGGTTCGAAACTAGTAGAGCTTTTCTCAGTATATTCACGTGAGTAACCCGCGTTTTTACTTAATAAAGATATCATCATAGTATGACTTTGTGCACAATTTATTTCTGAGTTTATGCATGCACTAACTTCAATTAACCATGTCCATCATGTACCACCTATAAGTGGCCACTGCTGAGCAAAGGTCTCTTTTAACACGGAGAAGGTTTGAGCATTAATCACCATGCTTGCTTAATACACCGTCGACGACTTCAAACTTACAATTAGAAAATATAAGCCCCATGTTACTGGTGTCTAAATAATATTATAAAGTAGATACATATAACTTAGAAAAATCACATTGGTGTACTAGCTAGGTTTCAAACCTGTACCGTCGTCCTAAACCCCCGGGCCACCAACATTTAACATAATACTAAACACCTACTAAATCAGTTTAATTTATTGACTCCAGCGAAAAACTAGGAAAGGCTCTTTAGAACCCACTTAATGGCATCGAGAGCTATTAACATAAAAATGCACTTATATGAGCTTTCTTGTCTTAGGGCGTGAATGTGCAACAACCTATGAGACAGATGTTTTTCAATATATGATAAGTAACTAAACTTTATAGGACATTTTATTGTATTAAAATTGGGTACTTGCCTTGATGAAAAATAATTTTTTTCGACTGTTCAATACAATAAAATATTGAAAAATAATCACACTTTCACTGACTGATTTTATGACTAACTTAATTTTAGTATTTTTCCAGTAAATTTTAAGAAATAAGTATGCTGTTTGACGCTAAAAAAAACGTGACGTCACAATATACAATGTCATACAAAATTCATAGAAAACTGTCGTTTTGGACAGTTCGAAAAAAATATTGAATTTGACTAGTTGGCAAGTACTCAATTGTATGTAAAGTATAGATCTTACCTTATGCATGTCGCTTTGTTTTTGCTGCTGGCCGATGGCTGAGACGGTGGACTGAGAGTGCGCAGGGAGGATGCTGGGCTGCGAGTTAATCACGCCCAGTGGGCTGAACACGAATGTCTGGTTCTGTGTCGTCGGGATCGCCGGGATAGTCGTGTAGCCCGGGAACGGAGCTGACGATATAAAACACGAATCAATTCACCCGCGCAACATTCCACCATCAACAGTAAATCACTACTAAACGACAACACGATACAATCATGGAAAACTTTACAAATTACAAGAAAAAATTAAAGACAATATTAAAAAATATAATAAATCCTTACACCATACAATCCAATACTAACACGTAACGGCTCAAGATACAATAAAATGTGTGGGAAGCTAATAAAAAGCTCAACTTGCAATGTGAACAATTAAAAAGCCTATGTCTGCACTGAACATAGAAATAAATGTTGCTATAAATTGAGTGAAGCATTAAACAAATTCAAGTAGAATTGCCAATTAAAATATATTGCTGAAACAAACCAAATCAATGAAATAAAACTCCCTCATGAAATAAATGGACATAACATCTTCAATCACGAGACTCATAATAAACACTTTGAAAATTGTATAAACCTTGTTCCTGATACGTAGTTAGACCTGCAAAATTTACTGAAAAACTAAATAGTGTTGAAGTTCTGTACGGCGCGGACGTTGCGACTGGCGCAAACATATTTGACTGGGACTTAATGTGTTTGGGATAAGTACAAATGTGCGCTAATACGTAACGTTACTGGCGATGGTGGTGAGCTACGAGCCGAGCTGTAGGTGTGTGTACATAGCGGTAAGTTACTTTAGCATTATTGCTGCTATTACCAGAAAAATCCAATGTTTTTTGTAAGTTATTGAGTATACGCCTACAAAAACCGGTATGTATTTTACGGCTTGAGTTTTTAAGTGGACTAGATCGTGTGTGAATGATGGTCACTAGTTTGCGATGACTTACGTTCGGGCGGCACCGAAGCGGCTTCGCCGGAGGCCAGTCTGATGCATACTCAAGGCGTGCTCGCCTTGAGTATGCATCAGACTGGCCTCCTACACTAACACTGCTGTGTTAAAGTATTTAGACCTTTCTTACGGCTTATCGCGGTAGTGTTGATTTACAATGACGCAGCGACGCAAGCTCATCGGTTTGCATGGATACGCTGACTTTATCGGATGCTGGGCGCATATCATATCAATACCATGAAATAATGCGTAAAGCTATTGTTACGTTATCACTGTATTTAAGTTCATATTCAGGTTTAACCTGACTTAGTATGCAGTGATATTAGAGGATCAAAGTTTTAGGCGTTGTGTGTAGCACATCTTTGATTTTAATAAGAAACTTTAATTATTTTTTTTTTAAAAATTGTCAATGTGTTGTGTAAAGATTTGCCAAGTATAGTTTGTAGCTCAAAAAATGGCCCAGTGCGTTAGTACTGCGTACATTATATTTACAAGAATTAATAAGAAAATAAGAACACATTATGCATATAGTTAAACTATATAGACAAAGGTACATAATAATATTTTATTAAAGGCAAATAGATATTGGACAGTTAGTTTTGGCTGTAAAACTAAACATAATTCATGCGCCCTATAATGAGCTATCTAGAACCACTATAAGTATTAGGAGTTTTAGTATACATTTAGATTTTCGAGTAACTTACCGGCTTGCCCTTGAAGGACTTGCTTCCCTTGGGTCGTCAGCATATGAGGAGTCAGTTGATTTCCTTGGAACGGCTTGCCTGCAGCTATGACCTGTGCAAACCAGCAACAAAATAAAGAAAAGAAAGGAAACGCTTTCATTTAGATATAGATTGTGTTTAAACTAATATCCAAATGACTCGTGACAAAAATTCTTGATATCACTTCCGTACAAGGACCTATACAAAACCAACTAAGACAAATACAAAATTAATTCTTGAACGTTATCGGTATTTAAGTTATATTTATTTATCTATTATTTTTATTGTTAATCTTCTGAAATAATCTTACTTGTATAAAATAGAGAAATTAATTACAAATATTTTATAAGTTATTTTTATTCAAGTACGTATTAATAAACCACAATATTAAAATTAATATGGCTCTGACTACCGTTTGGTTAGGTGTCAGAACTCATACTGAACAAAATACAACAGATAGACAGACTCATACATTTTAATGTTATAAGTACTCAGAGAATGTCATATACATAGAGTGAACTAGAGTTTTCGCTACCAGGAGTTAACGCAGTTTATATAGGTATTTAGTTTCTTGTTAATACTATTGAAATATTTTTTAAACAACACAGTGCGAAAAAATCAGTTAGAGACGCTCACATCAAGCTACCATAAGCTGTAAATTTAAACAAAATTCAATTCTCACATATTGCAATAAAGTTGAACATTAAAAACGAATCCTTAAAAACATCACTATCTGTACGCATCGTCACATACGTACAGCCAGTTTCAATAACCGACAGTAGCCTGTCTGCCTGTAGCTTTGGCTTCCAGAGATATAAATTGACACATATCGTATGGAGCTTACGTCAAAATATCAGCATAGTAGATAGACTATAGTAAGCAATCCTGCTGATAGACAATTGAAACTGACCGTTCGTTAGCAGGCTGATGAAATTGGACAGTTGATAGCTTAGTGCGTTGGCATGTACTGAGATAGGATTACTGACGTACCTGTATTTGCTGGGAATTAATGCCAGGATGCAATATTGCATTGCCAGGCATGAGCAACGAGCCTTGAGCGTTGTACAACTGTTGCAAATAGGTGCTATTTTGCAATGGCTGCTGGATCACCTGGACGCGGCTGTGTTGGCCCCATTCGGCGCTGTTGAAATAGTTACTATATAGCCTATGATGGTCATAATTATCTTCTTTCATTTCATAAAGGACTAAGCTAAAGACCTGATAAACGTAGTGTTCATATGTATATCAATATCTAAGACAAAATTAATTAAAGAAACAAAAAAAAATACTTTTTGAAGTTAACCGATAATGTATAATAAATATATCATCACATATATTTTTGCTCTTTATGGAAATCGGACGCTCCACGACTCTCCAGCTGAAGAAGCAACTCAAACTCTAACTCAACTTAAGGCTTCGATATCTCATATATCTATAAATCTCGAAACTCTCAGCAGGCGGAATTCGCGATCACAATAATCCTCTAGTTTCTTTTAAAGCTAAAGAAAAGTGGACAATTTATTATTTAATATGCTTGACCCTCTTGTGAATAATAAAACAGGTTATGGATCGATATGATTGCTTCGAACGTCGGCAAGTCACTTGGCCTACTGGCTACTACTCCTTAACAAAATTACGTAACGAGACTGCATCATTACAATACTCAACTTCTAAGTATCAAGATCTGGAATTTTCTAGTTAAAAAAAATGTATCCTCTTATTTTGTTAAAGCCAAGAGCATATTTATCAGCTGGCTGTTTCATTTGATTTTGCATTCAGCTTAAAAATACTAAAATCTAAAAACTGCAATATCTAAGCTCACTGGACTGTAAGATACCCCACAGGCTATATGGCGGTAATAAAAAACGTTACCTACGGGTAAAATAGCAATATTGTGTAAAAACCAATATGAACTGACGTACAGGACATGTCACCGACGTTGCCGAACGCAATATTGCCAATACATACAACAATGTCAACAAAACTGCCCACATTATAATAAAACGTTAAAAAATAAAAGTTTGTGAACAAGTACAACTTCCCGGCGTCCCTCGAACAAAATGAAATTGCATGACGCAACTGACAACGAGTTAGGCACAAAATAAAACAAAAATTAAGTTTACACTGAAGTCATTTATAATTCCATATACAGGGTGTCCCAAATCACCAAAGGCCTATCACCTGGTCAAGTTACATCGATGAGTTCTGTGGTACTCTGTGTATATAAGATTTTAATTTTTACGGAATTTTTCAGTAACAGATTAGAAGGAGATTAGAAGTTTGATAGCAGAAGGCGTGACGTTATGTATCTCTGACCATCGAAATGGTTCAGATTAGCTTTCGCCAAAATGCTGAGCACACAAGGACCGACCGCATATATTCTTACCAATATCGTAAATGCGAGAGTTTGTGGGTTTGTGAGTAGGTTTATTCAATGATAAGATCAAGGGTTTGGGATGAAATTTAGAACAGGGGTCGTCAATTATAGTCGGGAATGTGTTATTCCTATAGGCTATTTCTTACGCCATGCGAGCGAAGCCGCTGGCTGAAGCTAGTTGAAACATAATATTCAAACTTTTAATTACGTAGCATGGAGTATTTAATTGTGCCGTACACCGCAGTGTATGGCAATCATGGTAGCAGGTTTCCATAATTATTACTGAAACATGGAAACCGACTCGTATAAAATCTACTGAGGAGTAAATCAGTAAACAGTACACACAGACAGTATTATAAAAACAAAAGATAGCACGAATAAATCTAAAAGTAAGTTTTTTCCTATTAATTAATCGAATGTATGCCGATGGTATTAATTAATTATCGCTACCATACGCTACCTTCGTTACCTTTTTAATAACAAAACAACTGAGTATAAGCTAACAGATACTGTGTACTGCACGGCTGGACGTACACATGATTTTATACACACATTCCATGGACGATAGAAAGGCTGGGCGCTCTATGCAAAACATAGGTATGTACATAGCACGCTCGAGATCACAAGTTTATAAAATCCCCACTGAATTGGGATGACGACAGGGTTTGAAAATTCAAAATACATATAATTAGTCCGTAAGTTAGGTAATGAAAAAATATTAGACACGTATTTTTTTATTTTGTTGTAAAATGATACTTAAATATAACGAATCAAATTTTAGTAGTTGGGGCTAAAACGTCATTTCAACGTATAAATAATGTACATAGAAGTGACGTCACGCGACATTTCAAATCAACAAAAGTATTTGTTTCTGTAAGAAAATAAAAAATACGTGTCTAATGATTTAAAATAATCTACCAGACAGACATTAAAATAAAAATTAGGCATCTACCCTATTGTTTGTTTTTTTGGTTCCCCGCCCAGGGAGGAAAACTCTCCACAACGGTGTCATCTGTCTGATCGGTTGTCCGTTTGTTCGTCCGACCGCTGGACGGTCTGTCAAACGGATCATTCGAAACGTAACACGAATACGTAAAGAAAAAAGTTAATAAAAGTCGTCGAAACGCTGAAAAACGTTAAGTAATGTATGCGTCGACCAAATAGGATTAGGCATATGATCGAGATTTCCAATTTCTCTATTCATTTAATATGGTGTCTGCATACATTTCTAAAAATAAATTATTGAAAGCTAATTTGGTGACTAGCACAGATCTTTGTATAATTTTCGTACTTTTTTTACCCACGTCTGGGTTATACAATTTTAGTCTAACTTTCCCGGTTAACTGTAAAGTGTTCTAAGTTCCCCGTTGGTCCATCAGTCCGTCCGATAACATCCTAAAAGCCTAATAGATATTCTCATCACAATAATCTACATATTATTATTCAAAAGAACAATTGCTATTCTAGAATACAACAAAAAAATCAAAACGTCCAATTATTCAGAAACATTTCCATCATTAAAACCGGGAGGTCACCGAGGTCATTCAAAAAAGTTTTTATAAATAAATTTAAAAAGAAAAAACGCTACTCAGTTATATTTAAATCGCTAAGCCTAAAGTATTCATGTCTGTTTTTTATACGTCAATACCACATATTAAACATAATATTTTATGTATTAAAATGAATGTGATTTGGAATTAATATTAATTTGCCTGTTTTCCTATCAGGAAACATGGAAATAAGTATTCATGTATACATAAATACACTTGTTATGTACCTAAATACATAATAATAGGTCTCACGGGAAGTGACAAAAGGGTCAATCAGGATTTTTAGAGGACGATAGAATAATCGAGGAAATTTAAATATTGTTTTTTAACTCAAAATAACTGTTGTTTCTACCGACTTCATCTTGTGAGAATTAAAGCAATAAAGTTGTCGCACATAAGGTATGTAATCATGTACCTAATTGTAAGTCTAAACCTACAGCGATACATAAGCATAAACGCAGAAGAAACACGTAGTACTTAAGTACCTACCAACTGAGAATTTTAAATGAAAATCTTGGCGAGGACTGAAGTATCTTTTGTAACAGTATAAAATGAACCAGGACTTTGCATACAGTTGTCCGCTTGCAATCGCTACACCGAATTAATTAATAAGTATCGTTAATGGAAAGACAAGCTTCTGAAGACTGAAGACCGTAGTTTCTGCTTACCGCTCCGGGACAAAGGCGTAAGTTTGTTTATGTAATACCGAACTTGTGAAGCATTTAAAATATTCATAAAATCAGTCACTCGATTCCAAAATAGGTAAGCTCAGTGGTAACTTATTTACCTATAGCAAAGAATGTAAACAAAATAATACAGTAAAGGACAGTAATTACCTTATCTGGGGGTGTTGGGTATTCGGCGGCAGACTCTGCAGGGGCGGCATGGTGGAAATGCTACCAGCTTGTTGCTGTATACCACCTCCTGTCTGTTGCTGCTGCACCTAGGACATAGGTCACTGATTCACTGCACTTTTACATAAGAAAAGCAAAACAAACAACCATACGAAAAATATTAATAACTTCCAAACTTATATTCCAATGAAAATAAACTCCCATTCCGAACAACGTTTTAAAAACAATTTTGAGGCAAAAAAGAGTCAATAAACGAACAGTTTTAAGCTCGAACCTCGTCCAAATAGATAGGTTTCAGTTACAATCATGAAAATATTTTTAATGAAAATGTATTGAATGTTTATATTGCACAAAGCGGGGACGGTGTAATCGGCTGACGGACACCAGTCGAATACATTGAACCAGACAACCCAAATGAGGTAAGCACCTGAATATTTCGCTTTCATATCGTAGATCCTTTGTGGCTGAAATATATCAATTGAGCGCCTCAATGTTTATTTTTATTTAATTTAAAAAAGATTTTAATCAAACAAAAACAGGCTTAACATCACTCTTGTTTCCATTAAGCCGATTACATTACAATTTAGTGCTTACCGGCTACTTCATTACAAAATAGAACGAAAATATGTTAATATTTATTCCACATGAATGTTTTCACCAGAAATACCATAAACCGATTATAAATTTTGTGTACAATATGGGGCTTAAATGAAATACTAGTAAATTGTATTATACCAAATCATACAATAATCGTTCGTTTTATTTGTCAGTCATTGAAGCGATCAAACAAGATTTAAAATTTCATTTTTATATGCGACCTACGCGTTGTGCTAGGACGCATTTAAAGCGTCGGGATCGATTGCATACGCTTTGCACATACAGGTACTATAGATAGGTAGTGTGCGTACGCAAAGGCTACTGCAAACAAAGAGTGCTAACACAAACCAAATCGCTAGTCCGGCATTGGAGACTACATTATTCAATGTATCGTCAGCTTTACACGCGGCGTCAAGTACAGGAAAACAGTAGTTAGTTAGTCGGTCTTCCAATCAACACTTGACAAGCTAAACCACCGACTCTTCAAGACGTCAGACACTGGGACCTAAGAAGCACTTATTCTATAAAAGTTTGTGCACAAGGAAGTCGACCAATCGTTCAGTACTTGAGATCTGCAAGATGCGATTGTAGGCAGAGGCACTGATATTTATAGGGACATGGGATTAAATGCGCAGTTAGTATTCTGTCCTGTTTCTTTTGTAACATTAAAGACAGAGAAGTTAACCACATCAGCCAACCATTGATGAATGGATCGGAATTGATTGATGAATCGGAAGATGTTCCGAAGAAAGCCAAGACAGTTCTAAACTGGATGCAGTTAACTAAGTTTAAACTACCAAAAATATTCCCGAATGTCTGTTATTTTAAGCTGTGTAGGAGGAAAAGATTAGACGAAATAAACGATAAGTTTACCTGATGGGTGGCCATGCTACTGGGCATGGATGACACGACGGTCACCGTCTGGTGATGCTGTTGCGACGGCTCGTGTTGTGACATGCTTAACTGCTGTTGGACGACCTGAGTCTGTCCGTCTACGATCTGTGTGCATAAACACGATTTCCATCAATTCCCATTATTTACGAAGTGAAGCTTTTTCGGATCTGACGCTGTTTTCGGGGTTCATCTGGCTCTACAGTGAAGTGTGAAAGCGGAACTCTATTACTAAGACTTTGCTGTTCGTCTGTCTGACAAAACCGTGATGGCTAGACAGTTAGAACTTTCAGAGATAGTTAATGTCTATAGTCGCTGAAATACTAAAAATTAAAATAAAATAAATAAGAGGGAAAAACAAAAAGAGGATTCAATTGAAGTCCGATTCGCACTTGACTGTTTTGTTTAATCATCTGGACTATCTGCACACATAATTAAACCAAATCCTAAACACTACAACTCGTTAACGAACGCATAGACAGTAATTAAAGCTTCAATTACTCTGTTTTGACGAGACCGATCAGACGGATGGATATTACAATGTCATATTCACAAAAGGGGCTGACAACTAGTCCACATAAGTCCATATAATTACATATGGTTCGTGTATAACACAACTGTCTACCCCACACCACACGTCAGCGGTGATATCTCGCGGCACTTGTACCTCCATTTTCCCCCGTAATTGTATATTATTTTGGCAAAGTTAAAAGCCCCAGCTTAAAAATTCAACAACTCAATTCATTGTAAAAAATGTAGTCCATCTTTAATACTAACACCTTTTGTTACGCATAATTAAAAAGTTACATGTTTAACTTTTTTATTTCATGCCGGGAAATTGTCTCTGGATTGTAAATATTTAGGCTTACTGGCAGAAATTTTAAAAGCATGGGTTTTATTATTCGTCGACCGAAGAGTTACTACAGAGAAAGAAACATAGAATATTTTCAACAAAATTTTAAAAATGCACTAACGGTGTAAAGCGTAAAAATATAGATCTCAAAACAAAAGTATTAACGTCATTACTCAGTAAAAGTTCCGATTTTTTTTTAATAGCAGATATGAGAAACAAAGCGTTCAGCTTCTTTTGTTCCTCTGAAAAATTGTAATTAATTTGAAACTTAATATGAATCATCGATGGTGTCAGCAGTAAACAATAGAGATTAACATATCATTCGTATGTATTTAAATCGACACTTTTTTTCAAGAAAATACATGTTTACTCGGTGTTAACTTCTTATACATTCAAGATTAAAATTCGCCTGTCCCTGTCCTGAATGCGATTTCATTAAAAACGATGAAGAAATCCTCGATGTTTTTCTCAAACAACAGTATTTTGAATACCGGGACGTACTAACCTACGTTTTAAAATTTAAATTGGCAAAGGCCTAAACACATGTAAATTAAAATTTCAAATGTGATCTCAGAATAAACGTTTTTCGCAACAAAATACATCAATTATACATTCTTCGATATCCTTAGGGACCTCATTAAATCACGACAAACAACTATTTTCAATAAAATTGAAACCATATAAACTTTTACATACAGGTAAACTGAAAATAAAATATAATCAGCATAAGAATAATTAAACTGAAAGAGATGGCATTAATTAAGCAAAATTTTATTAAAAGTACGAATACGCAAAACTCTTTTCTCAATTTGAAGAACAAAAGCATTATTAATATGCATTTTAGTAAAGATTATTTTGCGTGTTCATAGCTTCCGCGAACCGTCCGGATTTCATACAGAAATTTCAATCGTTTGTATGAATCTTCACTACAATGGACATTACTGGTCATCATCACTAACCTCATCTATCAACTCTATAGAGCATTGGAGATATGTGACAATTTCTTTGGTCACGATACTATCTAAAGACATCATCGTAATAAATATGTGCAGCGGCAGTTGCCGCGCTACTCGCGAACTACTAATTTGTGCGGCGCAGTGAGGCACGTCCGAATTCGAGCGCGCATCGCAATGCACTGAGAGCGGTTGGGCCCTAGAATGAAACAGCGTCCAATATACCTCTCTCTACGCAGCTTTACCGTGTCCGTCGAAATTACATAGGTAGTTATATATGATGCGATGTGTTGAAACAAAAGTTGGGGAGCTCAAGGGGTGAAACGGAACTAGTAAACAGGTAACTGGTTGGAACGTCTGTTACATGCATTTCGGTAAAGTGTTTCCTGAAAATATGTAACTGTCATCACGGCTCTATCTTTATTAAAATAGTTTAATTACATACTTACTAGATATCAAAGTTGCAAATGGACAAGGAGACCGTGAAAATATGTTTACGTGACTAGATTTCATTATATTAGGTAAAGACAAGTCCAGCAATTTCAAATGTACGATTTTAGTAGGTATAAAATATTACTTTTAATAATGCTGGTCTGGTAGGTCTTAAATAGCAGCGGTGTCTAAAAAGTAATTTTTACCAGATCCCAGCTCTAATCTTAAGCTTTAACAAAAAGATGGGCTATATGCGACACTTTGCAAATAACTAGCCTGGAAAAGCAGCGTTTACTAATTAAAATACAGTAACGTGCACTATAATTGAATAAACCAAAGAGTAAGTATTAAAAAAATACTGAAAAAGAAAAAAATATCGTGCCATTATTACGCGTGCGAAAATGAAATAGTAAAATTGCGGAAACAAAACTAAACCCACGCTGTTAAGACTTTTCGTGTTAACATAGAAAAAATTATAACGCACATCATATCTCCTCACAGTCCAGCTCACCGAGCGGGTGAGCATTGTGCTTGATGGAGGAAGAAATACCCGGCGGCAGGCGCAATAAACTCTTGCTAACGCACTGTGCAATAAGAAGCCGCGCGTCGCACTGTCAATCTCCAAGTAGGTGGATAATAATATTATCGATTCACTGTCCAGTGATGCACACGAACATTAAATTAAATTCAATTCAAGGTATATTACGACTCGTTACGCCCTTTCAATTACAGGGTTAACAGGTCACAAAGTTGAGACGACACGAGAATTAACTCGCGAGGCTATGCACCAACTGGACTCCCAGTTGACGACTGACCACAATTTTATCGATGCACCAATGTAATTGGTATCATTCACGAGGAGGCCAGTAAGAGAACCCCTCGTGTATGGACTGATATTATAATGTAGCTGCTATACATTTTTAAACTATACTGCGGCCCTTACTATTCTTAGATCTAACATCGACGGCTTTGTAAAGGAAAAGTAACTGGAACAAAGCGGACTTGATTGCATTCTTGAATAAATAAAATGTTTCAATTGCCTTAGGACGACAAATAATTACAAAGGCTTTGCTTTTTTCCATGTTCTAGCAATTTCCTTGATTATGGGAAGACGGCCACCCTACGTTAATTTCCCTTAATTCAGTTAGATTAGGTTTTAAAATATACACTTAATTACGTTTAAAGTGCGGGGATATTCTATAAATAGATACTACAATGTACTAGAAACAATAAAATGAAATTAAAAAAAAATAATCTCATGAAAAGAAAAACAAATGCAGCCGAGTAATCATCAAAATATCATCCACAGCTTAAAGCTACCTACTGCGTAAATTAGAAGAGTGGGCGCGAACTTAATGAGTTATTGGGTGATAAGCATAGTAATTGTATTATCGCCAAATGTCTAAGTCCTGTGCTGTTTTCTAGATATCGAAATACCTACATTGTAACTAAGTTTTGCGCCTCTTACAATGTGATCACCCTCAAATCTGCAAATTGTTGTGTGTCTCTAGTAATACTTTACTTTAGACAGCAAGAGTATAACTTCGTTTGCTGATTGATGTGGCGCAAAACTAGTTTTGTCAATAGTGACTTACTTGTTGTTTGATATCTCCGCTCATTGTCTTCTGGTTCTTGTCAAAGAGTAGATTGACGTTACTTTGCGGTGACGCCAAAAAGCTGAGGTTGATCTCGCCAATGCCCGGTAAGTTGAACTGGGTGTGCACCGGCTAATACCAAAAACAAACACACTCATAGGGATGCAGTCCGGTTCGCGTTTACTCATGGTTCTGGATAGTGTAACTACAGCGTGATATAAAATAGTAGAACAATGAACACAGTACATAGAAGCGGGTACGGTGGTTCTACAGCTTTCTTTTCGTCTCCTCGACGTTTTTAACGTATTGCGATGATTGCAACTAGCGCCTTTATAAGTATCTATGAGTCCAAAAACAAAAAATTGCTTAGCAGACGACCTATACAACTCATTGTTCTCTCTATGGCAAATTTGCGACATGATTAAGCGTAATATATTTAGTCCTTATAATAATAATTGCGGATGAGATTAGCACAGGACCGATGAAAGTGGCGTAAGCAAGGGTTGCCTAAACTTAGCGATGGGTTAGATTCAGCCTGTGGAATGATGATGATGAAACGTGTTTGAAAAGAACTAGTTTTCTTGTGCCTAGGATTTCGGTAATTCGATAGCGTAAATATCGTAACGAGAAGTCCACAAAACACCGTGCTGTACGTTAGATGATGATTGACATTGTCAGATAAATATATGATAACGGTGTAACAATCCGACCTTATAATACCTGTAAGAGATAGGCATCGATAAATTTATCTATGTATGAACGTGAATAGGAAACATCAGACATTATGTACGAGTTTGGAGCGCGGATGCATTACAAACAATCACGGCGACAGTCGAACCTGTTCAAAGGGGTTGCCTGTACATAAATAATGCTAGGCAGTCAAGTGTCCCGAAGTAGAAGCACGTAAATGTACGCCGTCGTATAATATCGTCGGCGTCGCGTGTTACAAATAGCATTAATGATAGCTTGATTAGTGGTTGATGAGGTAATGCAGGGGTTGAGAGTTGAGACATGTCTACTATGCTACATGTAAATACCTGCAAATACTTTTGTTGCGGCTGGTCTCCTTGCTGAGTCACTTGCAACAACTCAGACTTTTGCTGCGACTGTTGCTGCTGCTGTTGTTGCTGCTGCTGCTGCTGTTGTTGTTGTTGTTGCTGCTGTTGCTGTTGGTGCTGCTGCTGTTGTTGTTGTTGTTGTTGAAATTGCTTTTGCAGCTAAGAGGACAAAAATTTCCGAATTACATACATTTATGTTAGCACAATCAATGAGTAATCTGCATTATGTATGCAGTATGCATTATCACAATGAAATGCAGTTCTAAGAAAATGATTGTTAATTGTAATTACATTTCCTAGTATTATAAAAATAAAGCAGCACATCTTCAAAGTGTGTTTTATAAACTGGCTACATTTTTAATAATAAATACTCTCATTTTGTTAAAACATCTACTGTGTGTCATAAGGATTTGTTTTTATATTGGTCATACCGGTTACATTTACAAATGAGTTTTTACATTTCATTTAAAATGAGTTTTATACGAAGTTACATTATATGAAAACAATCAGATAATATAATTATGACTTTTAAATGGCAGTAACTCACCAATTCTTGTTGATCCTGATGATTTTTGATATGCTGTTGGATAGCTTGCTGCTGTTGTCGCTGCAATGCTTGCTGCAAAGCCTGCTGTTGCTGTAACTGCTGCAACTGCTGTTGTTGCAACTGTTGCAGCTGCTGTTGTTGCTGCTGCTGGATTATTTGCTGTTGGATCTGGACAAACCAAGAATGTTATCAAAACATCATAGAATAAATCACATCAAATATATTTAGAAGAAAGTATGTGGGTACTAAGCAAAAATGGTATTATTATAAAATTAATGTTACCTGTAACTTGTCATCTTCTTCTTTTTGATTCCTATATCGGTACTCTTCCTGTTGAGTATGGTTATCCGGTTCAGCTTTCGGTGGCTTTAAGTCAGGGAGTCTCCTATTGGTGGAGTTCTGCTTGTCTAGAGCCAATAAGGTATTAGCAGCCTCGTATTTATCCTCAAAAGTTATACCAGCCTTCTCAGCAAGTGTCTCCAAGTACTGAAGGGGCCTCTTAGCAGGCTTGATTTGACCCTTCTTGTCTCCTTGACTACCACCAGGCGACTGCTTCAAGGCAGTCTTAGTTATTGTAATACTATTCTTATTACAATCATCTTTCTTTTCATTTTTAGGCTCTAATGTGAAGTAATTTTTGTAAGTGTTGTCTTTGTCCTTATCTCCGTTGAGATTGCTGTTTTCTATCAAAGTTATAGTTGTAGAATTTGCAACCTTTATTGATTTTTCTTTAGGGTCTTCCTTTGCTTGCACAGACTGGCCCAAGGTGTGAGTTGGGGATAACAATTGCTGTGCAGGGACATGCTGTGTTACCGGTACATTGGCATTTGATACTTCAGCAGAATGCAGGGGCTTGTCAACTGGTTTAACAAGCTGTTGTTGGTAGTTAGAGATTTGTGGCTCTTTTTCCTGATCCTTTTTCTTTAAGTTGTCTAGGATTTCAGACCTAAAAAAAAGAATACACTATTTGAAACATGTACTACAGTCACTCAATCACAATACATTGTGATGTTAGCAGCATAGTTAACATACATAAATAACCAGTTTAAAATTGGTCACACACAAATTCCAGATAGTATCATGAGAACACAATAACGTAACACAAATAGACAAGAATAATGAACTCGTACTATTGTTTGTACAAAATTTATGTAAATCATTTGTAAGGTATAACTATTATGGTTTTGATGACAAGTTTAAATAAATAGGTACTAAGTTTACAGTAATACCTGAACAGTTGAGACATTTAATTTAGAACGCTTGGTCTGATAACACTTTACAATAAATGTATCTGAAGTACCAGTTATCTTCAATATTATAACAGTAAGTATAGGAAGGTACAATGAAGTTTTATTACGATAAACATGAATATTCAACTATTCACGTGCTATTCCTTCGACAAGATTCAACTTATTCCGAAGTTAAGTAAACAAATATAGTACAACATTAGCACAAAATTATACTGTGAATTACATTAGAAAAATATCCCGATTATTATCCCGATTAACTAAAAACTTGGACAACACAAAGTCAAAACAAATTATCACACTAAAATGACAAATGGAAGAGTGCATGATGATGACAGTGACATATACTTGACGTGACAGTGACATTGGCGGTGTAATAAAGTTGCCAGTACTATTAAACATTAATATGATTGAGAAAAAAATAAACGAATAGGACAAGGTTGTTCTAACTCGTTTAGATTTTAGAATTAAATTAGAATCAATAAAATGTATTCATTAAGAATTTCATTCGAAGAATGTATGTCTAGTAAAAAGAGCGTATTATCTAGTGGGAACTGGTTGTAGGTAAGTACTTATACATACCCACTGCTTTCCGTTCCGCGGACGTGATTAAAACAAAAGTTGAAGCAGTGATCGTAGGTTTGAAGCAATATTTCTAACACTTTATAATAATGTTCGGTTCTATTTCAGCGACTTATTATTTTTCATTCCATACACACATCGCTACTATAGTAATGGTAGGTAAGTACGATAATATAACTGTTGATCAAGTTAAAACAATTATTGCTTGGCTATTTTATAACGTACTTGCCAAGCGATTAATTTGACGATTATTTGACACAGCTTTACAAATAATAATCAAACGCTATTTCTTATGATGATTTAAGGCTTGTTAGTTGTTATCCCTCGTAACTATAAAGTGAATAACCTCCTCCTTTTTGCAATGTCGGTTATAAATATAATTTTTCGTCTAACATTCGTAACGTCGTATGGTCAACGAGTCTGGTAGACTGTTAGAAGATTATACTTAGAGCGTCTATCATGTTAAATGGATTTTTATAAACAGTTTCACATTTCGCTCACAGGGTTCCGTATTTAGTAGTTCCAATTAACGCATTTATTTCAAGTAGGTAAAGATGAAATGATCACAAATTACAATATAAAATGATCATGATCACACCTCTTTTAGAATAATTATGTAGATTACAACTTGTTTGGTAGCCGGTAAGGTTTCAGATTCACTGTTGTAATGGAAAGCTATTCTAAGACACGCCTACGCCTACTTACAACAGATAGACGATAGAGGTCAAATAATATTATAATCATTTGTGGTAAATGGTCTATAAGAACATCAATAAGATATCACCACAAAAAAGTTTGCTGATAATAAGAGTGGCGTAGATCAATCATCATCAGTCGAGAAACCAAGACTTGATCTTTAGATGAGGGTTTCCACTATTTTTAAGTTCGGTGAGTGATTTCACAGCTAGATTATAAAAAAAAATGAGAATGCTGTAGCCGAACCCACGATACATAGCAGTTTTATGGCGTTACTCGGGTCCGGAGTCTGGGACCAATTCTGTTTGACATCAGGCGTACACATATGAATTATGGTGAGAAGTGGGAAACATGGTTGTCTGAAGATAGAAAGAGTGTAAATTAACGGTTTGTGTACGGATCTATAAATGTATCTCTTTCTACATAATTACTTGAATCATCAACTGATCAAAGCGAAGGCGTGTTAAGTGCGAGTCCAAACTATTCATCTACTTTTCGGTATTGCTGGACAAGTGCCACAAGTATAAAATATATGTTAAATTATCGTCCTTTCATTACTCTCCGTGCCCGACCCCGACCAAAGACTTTTTGAACTAACTGGTACATCATAAACATTTTGTATTCAACAATTACAAAATGTAATTCACAAAAACAACCTAAAATTGTTAAAAGCAATTGTTTTTGTAACGGCTTAATGACAGGGACCCGACGGGTTTACGCCGTGCCACCATCTGTCCATGGACCGACTGCGGCTAACGTTAATGATTTAAGTCAGAACAACCGTTCCGTAAAGCTCGCTACCTTGACCAAAATTACTCTACCACGAGCTCCGCTTAGCAACACAGATCAAGTCCAATTAATTACGAGTTACCTACCTACATATATTTATTTTATCTAAGAATTAAAGTATACCCCGACTCCCGAATACAGACATTTCTTTTGCGATACCTATGTGTGTTATAAGAATTATTGATAATGATAACTGCCAATGTAAAAATTAATGAGACCAGAATTCTATTTGGACACGTTCGTCCTACGGAATTCGCTTTATTAGCAATTTTCATAACAAAAAGTCTTCTCAAAATTCGCTTTAAGTTTAGATAAAATTAATACTGGTGAAACGCATTTTTTTACAAAAAACCTGAACAATATACCTGTACCTTTCAGTAACTTAAACTAAGTACCCAACGTAGATAACTATTACCAGTCTTTTTCTTGATGCTAGATTGGCAAGGAGGATTGCCAAAGGCGTGTGTGGTGATGATAACGATAATGACAAAAAACCAATACAAAGTCATGCAAAAACATTGTTTGGCATTCAATACTATTAATATTCTCAACCCACGCGTAGCTTGCAACAGCTTCAACTAAAATATGTTCGATATTATTACATAGATTGGCTATACTACCACCATTCATAAACAATCAATAAAACTATTAACTGCAGTCTAATCTGTCAATTTCTTTTCATCAAATTGAACGTCCATCAAGATACATTGTACGCATAGTTTAAAACAAATGGTATGGACAAATGGTACATCTCTACCAATTGCATTAACTAATCGTTAATCACTAGGAACGCAATTTTTAGATTTAGATGTAGTCCAACGACCAAGACAAGTTTTTTATGAAGAGAACAGGAAATACAATAAGCCGAGCCAGCTGTTTGAAGCATATTCATACTCTTAAAAGAGTCTACAATTATTATTATACTTTCTGAGAAAAATATTTCTGAACTTCTACAGTAACACTCGCGTAAAAGTTATTACAACTTCATCATTTCGCTGGCTTCATTAGAGTAAGTACCCAAGTATGTATTTTGTTAAGCGTGGTCGGACAGTAGGATAAAAAGATAAGGAAACCTTTGCCTTTAACGTTTTGTTTTCATTCGTAAAGTTACTTTTTACTACTTAAGTCCCTTTCACAAAAGTCTATTGTTATATAAGAAACAGCAAACTTTTTGAAGTATTTGTTTTCTTGTACAACTTCACATAAACTCCTAAATTCGCAGACGGCTAGATTTTTACCTTCGGGTTAATTGTTTTACATAATTGAATTCTCAGCGATTCCTTTACTTTCGAAAATCAGAAACTCGACAGTCGAACACAGGTCGTCGCCAAATCTACTAATTATTAACTATCACGTATATCTTCAATTTATCATTACCACCAGAAATAACTTTATCTTTGAATAGCATTAAAGCACAACTTAAGTCAAACTCAAATGAACGGATCTCGATAATTTTCTATCAAGATATCCAGTCCCGCCCATATTGAGCAGGGACAAAATTATTGACATCTTTGAATTGAAATTGGATTATTAAATCAAACCACATCTTGATTTGATGATATCCTTATCAAGATGCAAGAGTCAAGTGGAGAAATTGGGTTATTGCGGATTGTGGGCGATACTCTGTCACTTTTAATTTAGAATTTGCATTGGCCAGCAGTTGAATCCAATAAATTGGAGTCACTGTATTCCCCTCAGTCAACATGGAGAAAAGCCAACTACCAAACACAATAAATACTCATTAACTATGTCATAATTTGCAGTATAACCTAAAAGAAAAGTCCAGTTTAGCTTATTGTTTAAGTTTTTGAGGCTTTCATTTTTAAGTCATTTAACTAGGAAGTTCACAATTGCCAAGAACTACTAGCTAGTTACTACTTGAAAGGCCCCTTATTGTTCAATTAATAATCACATCATGATTGATCGTCGAGAAACTTGTTTCACACTATCACTATGAGATATCAATTTAGTGACAATTATTAAGTTAATGAAATGATTGGGTGATAGACTAGAAATACCAATTTGTGAGGCCCCCGGGCAGTAATTACGGATTAATTAAATTTCAATTGTCGCCAGTTCTTTTTGGGGTATGGAAAGAACTCGTATTGGAATTGGAAGAAACATGCGTTGTACATACTATTTACGAGTATGTTTGGTGCTACAGGCTTAACATCTACGTTCCTTGATCGCTAATGTGAGCGATTGAATTCAAATTCTATGAAATCTCGGTCTATTATCAAACGGCTATGTAACCATCAATCTGAATGCCATGAACTTTGATTTCATCGATTGTACGTAATTTCATTTCACGTACCTCGTTGGCAATAATCTTTCTGGATACAGGTGGGCCGTGAGAAACTCATAAAGAATTTGCCTACGAGCTTTACCATGACGTATTTGATTTTAACAATCAATTATATATTCTACAAGGATAATTTACATTTAGCTGTACCTGACTAAGCCTCTGCACCGACTTTATCCTAGTAGGTACCATTATTCTGTCTAGATGAGTCAAAAGAAGGAGGAAACAATAATATTGTAACAACAAACTAATCCTTGATTTAAAAAACTTCAGTAAGTTTGGTGTTCCAAAATTCGCGAAATAACTACAGTATTCACCCATCACTGTAAAAGCATTTTGATAAAATAACTATTATTCATTACCATTATTAATGTAATCCACACAATAGTGAATTAGCTCCATAAACTAAGATAGCAGGTATAAAAAAGAAAGGTAGGTCAACCGTAAACTTAAAGTACAGATGATAAACCACTCGTTCAACTAGTCTATGAGCTTTACTAAAACTAAACTATTGATAGCGTTATACGTTATTATAGAACTCATACTTGTTGCACTTTCGTTCTTTTGGTAGCACCGAGCGAAACTTTTGAAAGGGGTTCGCCATTTTGTGCGTAGTGGAACTACAATGCTTTGTGAACGACCCATGTAAGTACAGTTATACGCAACTCTCAGGGTAAAAACTAAAATGAAGGGTCTATTCTATTGACAATCGAGGAATTCAATTATTTTTTATTTGGTTCCCATTCCCATATAACAAAACTTATTGTTCTTTATTAAACCTGCATAGGTGCTTTCAAGGCGCTTTTTGACACCAAGTTAGAAATAAGTAATTTATGCATTAATTTAATCTTTCTGAAGAGTTGTAAGTAGGTAGTCGCATTTCCTGATTGATCACTTTTCATGATCACTTGTATATTCGTAAAACTTTATTCT